CAGCCTTTTAAAAATCTCTACACTACTCCCTACATCTCTGTCAATCTCCATCTCTGTGTCTCTGTACCTCTTTCTCTTTGTATCATTAAAAAAAAAAATCCCTTTCTGGTTTATTTACCCTTCTCTTTCTCTCCATTTTCATTCTCAATGCATTCTTTCTACTTAGTTATCTCACCCATTTCCCCCTCACTGTCCCTGTTGCTGTATATCTGTCTGTCTGTTTGTGTTTTGTCTATGTGTTTGTCTGCCTGTCTGTGTCTGTCTTCCTCTCTCTCTCTCTTTGTTTCTCCCGCTCCCCCTCTCTCTCTCTCTCTTTCTCAATGCTCACCACTCTTCCCATTTTCTCTCTTTTCTATATCCATTTTGCTCCTGCCTCTCTCTCTCTCACCCCCTCTCTCTCTGTCTCTGTCTCTCTCTCTCTCTCTCTTTCTCTCTGTATCTCTCTCTCTCTCACCCTCTCTGTCTGTCTCTCTGTCTCTCTCTCTCTCAACGTCTCTCACTTTCTCCTTTCTCTCAATTATGCCTGTCCATCCATGGCGTGTCATTCAATCCTGTTAATGTTGTTCATGCAAATGTTGTCACTGTAACCAAACTTGTATATGTCCTTGGTCGTCCCTAATGCCCTCCACATGCGATAAATCCATCTTATATTAGATTAGTGAAGTTCTGCCTCTCGGAGCTGAATATCCAGCAATATCTTATTTCCAAGGACTGCTGTTCCATAGATTGAATTCATTTCCACCTTTCTGTCTTAGAAATATTATTGACGCTTTCTGGGAATGCCTCATACTCAATTGTGCAAAAGGGGTGCTTTATTTTAATTTGTAGTCATCAGGGTTCTGTTCTCAATAGATGAAGCCATGGGAGTTAAGGAATGAATATTTGATTGATTTGTCTATTGTAATATTGCTCTGATTTTCAAGATCAGCATTGTTATGTCTTTCTTTATTATTTACAATGTCAGAATATGTTTCATATAAGGTATATATTTCATATAAGGTATATGTTTCATATAAAAGTATATGTTTCTTATCAGGTATATGCTTCATATTTATGAGGTATATGTTTCATATAAGGTATATATTTCATATTGATGAGGTATATGTTTCATATAAGGTATATGTTTTATATAAGGTATATGTCCTTGTTACAGTTTCTCCTGCATTCCTTGCAGTAAACAAGTTGATTATCAGGGGTAGATGTGGAGTTAGTTTTAAAATAATTGAATTTGTATTTCATCCACACCCTACGTCTTTGAATATCCACTATTATTGATTTTGTCGTCTGTTTGAAGTTATAGAAGGGCATTAACTCACATACATTAACACACAATTAATGCCCTTTTGGCTCTAAGGTATGGTGTCAAGATGTGCTTCTGTAAGGAGATGTTAGGTTTTGTTTTTGTTTTGCTTTTTATATTTTTACTTTTATATTTTGACTTCAATATTAACATATTATTTCGTGTTTGAATGTGAAATATATGTGAGGTCACCATGTGCACCCATGACTGGATATTTGACTGGAGAAAAGGAAAGAAGGGGATAAGGGAGAGAGAGAGAGAGAGAGAGAGAGAGAGAGGGGGAAGGAAGAGAAATGGGTGGGAGAGGGTGAAGGGAGCAAGAGGAGAAGGGTAGAGGGGGATATTTAGAAGACAGATCAAATAAAAAAAAATAAGTAGAACCAAAGAGAGAGAGAGAGAGAGAGAGAGAGAAGGGAGAGGGGAGAGGGGAGAGATTTAAAAGACAGATAAAATATAGTAAAGTAGAACCAAAACTACAAATGGTGGGTAAAGAGAGAGAGAGAGAGAGAGAGAGAGAGCGAGAGAGAGAGCAAGTGAAAGATAGAGCATGAAAAAGAGAAAGATGAACACTCTTCCAACACAGATGTGTTATAGAAAGTGGATGTCTTGGGAGTTCCTTCATGCGATTTGCAGGGATTTACCGGTGGGATTTAGCACCAGCTCCTGTTTCTTGGAGAGGGAGAAAGAAAGATGATCTGGGAGATTAACAGAGCAGGATCAAAGAGTTATAGGGTTAAATACAAACAGGATCCTTCTCCCCCCCCCCCCTGAGTATCAAAGGGTTATAGGGTTAAATACAAACAGGATCCTTCTCCCCCCCCCCCCCCCTGAGTCACTGACCATGGGTGTGAATCTAGTTTGCACGTACAGACCGTTGTTGGTCTTGATGCATAACAGAGAGTCTAAGCTAGGAGACTATACAGAGACCACAGTCCATAGGTCCTGCACTGGAGCTGCTCCAGCTAGCCCGAGACTGAAAGAGTCAGGCACGGTTCAAGATATTATGGAGTTGTGTTTGATTTGAGTGTCAAATTAAAGTCTGTGCCTTCACTGGCAGTTGTTATCTCATCAAATCAGTTCTCAATTAACTTAAGGAAAGGGGGACCATGGGGGATCAACTGGTACCACTTAGGTATTGTTGGCTTTATAGAGGGCACAAGTAGATACAAGTAGTGTAGTCCCGCTTAAATTTTCAATGGTTATGAACATGCGACTCTTTGGCAGGAATTCAGGAAGGAGGTTTATCTTAAAGGGAAATCCAACTTTGATAACAAACTACTCTAGAGGAATGCAAACAAAACAAAGAAGTAGACTGGTGAAAGTTTTAATGAAATCAGACAAAAACTGAGGAAGTAGTGAATATTTGAAAGTTGTAATCACTATAAGTATGGGCTCTTCAAATTGGCTGAACTAGTAATGCTTCTGTCATTTAGTAGCAAAAACTTTCCCATTTATTCCAACACAAAATAACTAATAGTTCAATTTTTCAAAAATATAACACTCTCTTTAGAGGACCAATAATAATATGGTTTTGAGTCCATAAATATGTCTTGAGGAGTGCCACAAGGGAGAAGGCACTTAGGAGAAAAACAGAAATTAAGGATATTTTTTTACACACGAAACGGGAGTGTTGTCCAGTACAATCTGACATTCTATGAAAAAATTGCCTATTTATAGTGATGTTGATCTCTTATCTCAAACATTCATAACTGTCTTATTATGGGTCCAATTTACTTCAAATTTTACACCATTATTTTTCTGCTTTCATACAAATCAACTTGTTACAAGGGTTGGATTGCCCTTTAAATTAATGTGTCACCCTAAAGTATTTTGTAAGCCAGGGAATTATCTAAAATATAGCGGAGATCTTATAACATTTGCTGAGCTTCCCTCTAATGCAGCTACGTACGTGATGCATTGGGTGATAATAAAGGGGGGTTTATTGCCAATTAGGATGGGAAATAAGTCATTACATGAAGCTTTTATGATCCGGTGTGCAATCTCTACTCAATATTTTTGTACTGTTTTGTCCGTGCAAATTGGCAAATGTGTCGCACGGTCATGTAACGATAGGTGTATAGCTAATGATCACTGAAGGTTCTCTATGGTCAGATGAGGGAGTTGGGAGTACCATAGGTACTTTGGAATAATTTACCATTTAATTTGAGAATCATAACTTCCTAAGAGACCTTTAAATCCAAGCTGAAATCTTATCTTTTACTTGGCACTATCACACTCGTCCAAACTTTCTCGTCCAAACTTTCTCATTCTTTCTATTTTTCTTGTGCGCCTCGGAATAGCATTGTCTAGATAGATGGCGCTATACAAATGCCTATTATTATTATTATTATTATAGGTGGCAATTCTGCCTAAGAATTTAAAGGTATACTGTACTAGAAGAACTACTGCAAAATCCCCCTAGCCCAATCTCATGTCAGCTGTAGCAGTATGGTTCCGTAACTTGCTACTTCCCTAGCTGCGCTGTTGGTTCTCGCATCAAGTCTTCTGTCGGCGAAGTGGGAATTAGTTATTGTTTTACGCACTGTTGGCAAGTTGAACATAAGAAGGAGCTGTGCAATAAACAGTAGGCTAGGGCAGAAGGCTCATTAGTTCAGTATCTCTTTAAACTGGTTTGCTTAGAATAAGAAAGTAAATTCTTTTCAAACTGTAAAGTAGCTTAATGAATTCCTTGAAACCCCAAGAGATATGGGAATGTCTGTGACATTAGGATGATATAACTTTAGAAGTTTTCAGCAATAGCCGGAAAGACTTTATTGCAAGTTGGTATTGGCTGGTCATATTTGTCTTTATAGTTGTCCATCATGCTATGTTCGTGTATGTGACGTATGTTTTCAATCACGCACATTGTGCAAACCTCGAGAAGTGTGCTAATAATGTTACTAGCACATGGATATCTCAATTTTGCGAGACACAAGTGTCCTTGATATTTGTTTAAGTAGAACAACTTAGTGGATAACTGGAGTAAATGATTTCATAAAACACATATTTTGGCTCCTAAAGGCGTTTTGTGTTCTACATTGAAACACACATGTTACAAAGTTGGATGTGAATCCATAATGAATTTATATCCGAAAGAGTAATTAATCCTTGAATGCAGAAGGACTAATATGAACAGATACAGAAGATATCTCTTCAGAGCCAGAGGGGTTTTAACTCTTTGTTAAAGTATATGAGTTAATGCCCTTCTAGCTCCACACAGACATACTATTTAACTCTCTGTCCACTATGAATTTACATCCTTGACTGCCACATTATCATGGAATGTACATGTATTTTACATGCAAATAGTATGTGTGAGAAAAGTTGACTATTGCAACCCCAATGATTGTTCCATAAGTTGATCTAAGCAGATAAAGAGTTTATATAGTCTTGGTGTAGCTTTTTATCACAAATACATAGCTTAAGTTATTTTTTTTTCTTCAATCATAGTACATAACTTTTGGTGCACAACTTAATAAAATCATTTTTGTATAATGCATAAACCTGCTATTCATGAAATTGTTCCTCATTAATACATGTATATTACCATAGATATAATATAAACAATGCCTACCACATTTAAAATTGCTATAGGAACCTGTTGGCTCCTGTATTAAGCATATGAGAATGAGAGGAGTTAGTAGTAAATAGCTTAAATTGTCTCAAATCTTTTATTTGTTTCCTTTTTAATCTTATCCAGAAGCTGGGATTCCTAAAGATGGAGTTGATACCAGTGAGGAGCTAGAGAGGATATCAAGACAGCTCTTCATCCTGGTATCGGTCCTGGCTGGTGTCATCATTTGCTTTGCTCTCTGCTGCATCGGCTTTAACTTGTGCTTCCAGCATACAGGGTGAGAGGGGTGTAAGATACCGGTAGAATGGGTGTGGTGGGGGCAGATCAACTGTCAGGTGGTAGAAGGTTGGGGGTTTCAATATGGGTATTAGCAAAGTGAAAGTGTATATCAATAAGAAGAAGTGGTAATGGGAATTTAACTTATGCTTCCAGCATACAGGATGAGATCGAGGGGGGCGATACCGGTAGAATGGGTGTGGTGGGGGTAGATCAACTGTCAGGTGGTAGAAGGTTGGGGGTTTCAATATGGGTATTAGCAAAGTGAAAGTGTATATCAATAAGAAGAAGTGGTAATGGGAATTTAACTTGTGCTTCCAGCATACAGGATGAGATTGAGGGGCGCGATACCGGTAGAATGGGTGTGGTGGGGGTAGATCAACTGTCAGGTGGTAGAAAGTTGGGGGTTTCAATATGGGTATTAGCAAAGTGAAAGTGTATATCAATAAGAAGAAGTGGTAATGGGAATTTAACTTGTGCTTCCAGCATACAGGATGAGAGGGGTGTGGGATACCGGTATGGGTGAGTTGGGGTGCATCAACTGAAAGGCAATGGGGTTTCAATGTGTGTTAGCAGGTGTTACTATAAACTAGAAACTATAGGGTTCTGTGGGAAAAGAGGTATATATGTTGTAAGTGTATTTTTATTTTAGAGAGGTAATTTGAGACTAGTTAAGGATTAAAAAAAACTTGAAAAGTCACCAATGTTCAATTATATTTGAGTTTTTTGATCAATGATTCATGACCATGGTTTTTCTTCTACCCTCTTCATCCCCATTGGTATTAGTAAGGTGATTTGAGAGTAGTTTTTAATTCTAAAGAAGTGAACAGCCCCCAAATTAGACTAAATATTAATGATTACACCATCACAATTCTTCTTTACCCACCCAACCCATCCCCCCTTTCCCCCTCCCCCCTATCCCCCTCTCAGATACATCCAATGCTCCCAGCCTCATGTGAATAACGTGACGGCCCTGGGGTGCATCGCTGCCCTCATCTGTGTCTTCCTCCTTGGGTTCGATGGTTCTGGGCCGGATGCATCAGAGTCGGAGCTAGACACTCAACAGAAACAGGAAAAATTCTCCAGAATTTGCCATGTAAGTTGTTACAGAGTACGCTGCATGGTGGTAGGGCTGATGTATGTTCATGATTTTAACTCTTTTGATAATGCATGTTGATTAAAGCCAACGGGCATGAGATAGCTCAGTAGCCATTTGGTTAACTCAATACCTAAGGTCACAACTGATTAGGTTTTAGAATATTAAAATATGTATTCATGTGTGTATTGTCAGAGAGTTATTTCTACAATAGATCTACTGTAGATTGTAATATATTTAGCTTTAGGATTTGAGAGTAAAAAGTACTGCATGCGGTTCAAGTAAGAAGTAGTTGGTCCATCACAAAAATTAAGCCTTTTGTAGCCATACCTATAATAATGTTGAAACAAACTAATACTTATTCATAGAAAATTGCAATAAAGAGATGTACCTTAACCCTCTGTATATTTGGCCCAATATAATCCAGGTTATTTCAGGCAAATTAATGAATTTCAACATGGATTGTCTTTTTTAGTGCCTGATAAGGTAGAAGAATGTGGCCAATATATCACCCTTATTTCATTTGACCAATTAAGAATATTTAGAAACCATCAACATTTGTGATGACTAAACGTTCTACATCATACCAAATTAAAACAACTTTTTACAAACTTTTTTGTGAAATCAATATGATTTTTCAGGAATGCAATAAACAATTCCCAATAAAGAGCAGAACTTGGTCAACTGTTAAGAAAATGTAGTGTGGGAATAGAACAACAATGAAAACAAACCACTGAATATAAATGAAAAAATCACAGAAAGTATGTAGGAGTAAAAAGTCGAGTCAATATACGCACCAAGGAAAATGAGTTTGGTCGGAGAAACCAAACAGATGAACATAAGAAAACAAGGCAATATGCTCTCTCATGGAAACAATTTGTGAAGCAGAACAAGAAAATTATTCTTCAATCGAGGAACACAGTTGTGCGTGTAGAGATGCTAGCCTAAGGCTCAATTCATCATCGAATCGAGAGCAGAAAGACACACATGCAGTAAAAGAGGAATACCATCTTATGGTCCATTTGTTGACCTTTTCACTCGAGTCGTGATGTACTTTTAGCGCAGCTCTCTCCCGTGAACGGCTTTAATGATCGTAATTAGATTGAATTTACCTCAAAGGGCAATTCAAGCACAGATATTCTCTTTTCTTATTTTTCTGTTTGAGCCACCTTACGGCTAGATGCTGACCACAGACTCTTCTGTGGGTTGTCTTATCGAAAGAAAGAAAAAGTGTCTGCAAGAATTTGATAAAGTTGGTGGTTAAAGTCCCCAGTTGTTGGGAGAGATGAAAGTTGTTGTAGATTTTATCGTTGAAAATCGCCTGTTTAGTTTGAGGCACTGAAGTGAAAGGTTTCTCACTACTCTTCTATTATTTAACACCTTTTCAGTACTTTTTGGTAGAAAACCATGAAATATGTTGAAGATGTTAAATTACAGGAGAGATATACAATATTTAATATATCATAGTCTCTTTGAATAAGATCTTTGTTGTTCACACCATCCATATAAATCTATACTAACTATAGCATACAGTTGTATTATTAGTGTTGTTAATATTTTAAGTTTGTGAAAAAGTGATGTTTCAATTTATGTTTCTTGAGAATGTGACATATAAAAGCTTACATCTAAAAGTATCCAACAATGGTCCTAATTCAACCGATGAACTTTTTATTCTTGAGTTATGAAAACAAACAAACAAAAAAAAACCCATGAAATTTACAAGGAGTACAAAAAAATTGTTGTTAATTGTAGATGATTTAAATTTGTCTTATCCTTTAAATTGGTGTATATAGTACCTAATTTGTTGTCTCCTTATATTCTGAACATTCTGAATATTATTGTATGTATTCTTATTTAACTACTAGAATTGCACTTGAAGATAATAGTAGCCCTTCAGCATAAAATTCAGCTCAGAACTTCAATTATATACATACATGTTTGTTACAATTTTGGTCTTCTAAAGAATTTTGACAGAGATGACTAAGTGAATTCTACTTCAATATTTTAGATTCTATCAAAAAATCAATACCTGGTGAGAGAAAAACTTGAATTTTAAAATAAAAAAATACCAGGGCTGAAGACTAATCTCTTTAAACTGTTTGTACCAGACATGAAAAACATTTGTAAGGCAGGACTCCATTACAAGCTTGGAGAGGTTAACCGGCGTGTCACAGTTATTCAAAGGATGATACAATTAAAGGATGGACCTTTACGCTAGATAGCCCGGGGTAGAATAAGCAATCATATTTCCACCTTCCCGATTGACGAGATTTAATCTCCTCCAAGCGAAAGCAGGGTTGAAACCTCTGAATGGAAATGCAGTTCAAGCTATGCAGAGGTGCATATCGATTGAACCCTACTTCCGCAATTAAAAAATGGCGATGATTTGAAAACCAATTCAAAATTTAATGCTGTAAACAAAAAGCGGAAGCCTCTGGCAATTTTCAAAATGATAGTACAAACGTTTTCATAATGAAGTGCTGTAAACAAAAAAGAACAGCCCCTTTCATTTTCATCTTTCCAACTCTAGGTACATGTATTTATTCTTTATTAACCCTTTCCATACCATAGATGGCAAAGATTGCATTAAGATTTCAATGTTGTACCCTACATTAGGATGAAAATTGGTAGTGTGGAGTTTCATCTTTTCGCACACATGCCAAATTTGATCAACTTTTGTAATCACAAATATCACTTTGCAAAAAATTTGCTTATCTTGATAAAAACATTAGTCTCTGAGATCTTATTTCACTAACCATTTCAAACTGAAGGGAAAAAGTAGAAAAACATGCATATCTTTATCCAAAAATATGGTTAAGGTATTTCATGATTTCACAATGATTGCTAGCATTGTTTTCATAACATTTTGATTTATTTCTAGAAATAGTTCTCTTGAACTTAACTCTGAATAATTGTAAAGTCACCCAAACATTAATGTTATCTTGACATTTTGAATACCAGTCTTTTTCACCCCTTCATTTCCATCTATAGCCCCTTGTGTTTTCATCTAGCTCCCCTAAGTTAATTATTTTTGTAAAAAGAAAGAGACTTCTTAAACATATAAATTGATTTCTGGAAGCAATTTGGAAAGGTTGATTAAGTAGTTCATAAAAAATTGGTGTATGTTGTGTGATTTCTGGAATCAACAAAATGAGAAGAAATTGACCCAGTCTCGCTGAAAGTCATGTGCACTTCACACAGGATATGGGATAATGGGACTACATGTGGCACAACAGTTTGGACCAAACTTTAAAGGTAAAGACCAGTATTGGAAACGCCCCAATTTCAAAAAATGAAATGGAAGCTCTCATTACCAATCATGTGAAAGAATATGTTTTGACTAATACATGATGATTAAAAATTTGCCGGGAAACCGCCTACTAATTCATATATTTGGTAAATTTGTTTCTCTCATGGTCTGTGAGAGATATAGGGTAGTCCCATATACATCTTTCTGTGTATAGTGCTTGTAACTTTACGAAGAATGGGCCAAATTTCTTATCATTTTGACGATTCCAGAACCTTGCAGATGCTAGATGCTAGATGATCAACCTTTTCTGATCGATTCCACAACGTTTCTTTCACAATGCAATCGCATGACCATAACTGGTGTTCACCTTTAAGCTATTTCTTGTCATAGGTCGAATTTGAGGGCATTTTAAGTGGGAGCAATCCATTTTAGGGGCAGGGCACATTTATGAACTTACAATCTTCCAAACTGACGTAGAAAGAGTTAGAAAGCTCACAAATTATTTTTCATCTTTACTGGAACTCGACCTACTGTTTAATAACTCAAGCGCTTACGAAAGTTTGAGTGTTTGGATGCAATGTTAGTGAAGGAATGTTGTTTTCTTCTTCCTTGTTACTTATGTCAAACCTAGACTACAGGTCATTATCCTCTGTTGCCGTGGGCGACAGAACATGAGGGGTGTGGGAATTGGAGAGATAAACCATGCATGCAATTGAAGAGAAGAGCATAAACATACATTCTTTAACCACGGATTGTCTTGAATTATTCAACTTCCATGTGGTTTCAAGGCTTCATGAGGTTGAACTATGTCGAAAGGAATGTAAAGCCTCCAGGTTATTGAGTAAACTGCCAATGAGCCAAGTGACTTGCATTCAGAGAATTCAGAGAAATCTTCTGCTGTGTTTCACACATGTGCAACATGTTGAAAAAAGGAAGGAAAAACCCCTTCTACTTACAAATTCAAATAGTTTTAAAGCAAAAAATAGCAACAAATTCAAAGTTTTTAAAATCCCAATTCATTCCCCAAAAAATTTGGGGGCTTCAAGGCTTCATGAGGTTGAACTATGTCGAAAGGAATGTAAAGCCTCCAGGTTATTGAGTAAACTGCCAATGAGCCAAGTGACTTGCATTCAGAGAATTCAGAGAAATCTTCTGCTGTGTTTCACACATGTGCAACATGTTGAAAAAAGGAAGGAAAAACCCCTTCTACTTACAAATTCAAATAGTTTTAAAGCAAAAAATAGCAACAAATTCAAAGTTTTTAAAATCCCAATTCATTCCCCAAAAAATTTGAAACATAGCAGATATATAAAGATTGATACAATAGAAATAAAACAGTACAAAAAGAGATTAACTGTAACAGAAAAGTTTATGAAAAGCAAAGGCTATATAGTCATGAAATGGAGGATTTTAAAATTGCTCCTTGGCTTAAAACAGTAAGTCAGAATGTTGGAACTACAATTAGTCATCTATTACCGTGAGATTGCATTACATTTTTATCATTATAGAGTCAAACTTTGAAAGCAGAAACTTGAGTTATGGTGATATTAAGGTTAACAAGCTAAATGTGTAAATATTTGTTCTATATTCATGTAACATGATATAATATTCAGCCATGAAAGTACTTGATCTACATACACAAGTATTCATTGTGAAATGTACAGATAGAAATTATTAAAAAAGTCTTTCGCACCAAATAAATCAAACTGTTGATTACTTCAATATAACTCTTCATGAACCCAATGTACCATTTTTTTTTCCTTCATTTTTATCATTATATATATATATAATTATATATTTTTTTAATGTATAATATTTCTTTGTTGAAAAGCTTCATATTTCCCCTGGGTACCACTCCATGACTCGTCTGATAGGAAAAAAGAAATAAACGACAAAGAAACAAAACATAATATCAGGAAGGTTGCTCTGTGTATATACTCCAGCAGCAGTTGCTCTGGGCTGTATTTTGTCAAAGATAACGGAATAAGGTTACTGTAGGTTATAGCGTCTGATCACGGGTTAAATTCAAGAATTTTAAAAGTGTAGGATACTGACTTCAGAAGAATTGCATGTTGCTGAAGTTTGTGTTATACAGTCAAACTTGCTTTAGTGACCACCTGTCTACAAAAACCCCATTTTTTGTTTCGCTTGAAAATGGTTTCTCATTGAATCATGTGCTGAAGGAACCTGTCTACAAAGACCACTTTTTGTGTTTCCCTTGGGCGGTTGCTATAGACAGGTTTGACTGTAATATCATAATGAATATCTGCTTGTAAGAGATATGTATTTTAACCATCATGCCTCTTGTTTCTTTGTTCTCTCTTCAGTCTATAGCTTGGTTGATAAGTATTGGATTCTCCCTCGGATACGGCTCCATGTTCGCTAAGATCTGGATGATGCATTCCTTAGTAACCCAGGAGAAGACAGATAATGATGACGGAAGGAGAAGGAGGAGGAAAGTCAGCCTGCAGGTCAGTTGATATCATGAGTCCCGGCTACAAATGTGTATTTTGTCCATCTCTCTCTTTTTCTCCATCTCTCTATCTGTTTCTCCAACTCGCTCTCTCTCTCTCTCTCTCTCTCTTCTCTTACCACCTCTCCATCACATCATTCCCTTATTTTATCCCTCCCCAGTTCCCCCTTCTCTATAATTCTCTCTCTCTCTCTCTCTCTCTCTCTCACTCTATTTCTCTCTAATTGTCTCTCTCTTTAACTCTCTCTCTCTAATTCTCTTTCTAATTCTCTCTCTCTCTCTCTCTCTCTAATTCTCTTTCTCTCTAATTTTCTCCCTCTCTAACTCTCTCTCTCTCTATTTTCTCTCTCTCTAATTCTCTCTATCTCTCTCTCTCTCCCCCTTCTTCTCCCCCTTCTTCTCCCCCCCCCCCCCCCCTTCTCTCTATCTCTCATGGTCCATCTCTCTATCTCTCTTGGCCCTCCTCTCTATCTCTCTCTCTCTAATTCTCTCTCTCTCTCTCTCCCCTTCTTCTCTCCCTCTCCCTTTCTCTCTATCTCTCATGGTCCTTCTCTGTATCTCTCTTGGCCCTCCTCTCTATCTCTCTTGGCCCTCCTCTCTATCTCTCTTGGCCCTCCTCTCTGTCTCTCTCTCTCTCTTACATAAACTGCTTGTGTATTAGTGTGTCTTTTAGTATTAATCAAATCTAGCCCCCAAGAAAAAAGTAATATAAAAACTTTTAAATAATTTTTTTTTTATTACAGAGGATATTAGTAGAGAGATAATTCTAGTACATCACGACATGTCTTGTTCGATGACCGCATGGATGTTAATGAGAAAGGATTATAAATGTAATCCTACATACACATAACTAGGGATTGTATAAAACATCTTTTGGTTGATATTGATACTTACATGTACCTTTGCTAGAGTATATAAGCATAAAAATATGTGGTAACATTAACAAATTTATAGAAGTGAATCAATACACGGAATGATAGTATATGTTAAACTTCCTATCAGTGCACATTCCATATTGCACTGATTACATTTTCTCACAACTGTATGTTCCACAAGAAAAAAAATATGTCTATTTCGTGATTTGTTGAGGAAGGAAAAAGCAGTCTTTTTATTATTTTTCATTTCACTTATCTTTTCAGAAAAAGAAACAAATTGTGAAGGTATTATTAAACCTTTTTGCTCTATCATGACCAACTAACAACAATGCTTTCAGAAATGGTTGTGTTTTTTTGCTGTTGGTTCTTTTACTTTGGGGATCATAAAATGCTGGCAAAATATGACATGAATTATGTCATCCATAGAATGTCTAGAGTTGGAGAGGGAATTGAATCATCAAGATTGATATTCATAGTAAACGATTGACCGACATTTTGTAGGTTCAAGTGAATGAGTATGCGTTGGGGGAAACACTGCAGCGAATTCTAAATAGGCCAAAGCATATTGGGTTGACGTCTTTATTAAAGCTTTGTCTAGCTGTCTGAAGTGTTTAAATGCCACACAAGTTAAACCTCCTGTGCTACATTGTAGGCCTATTTATCACAGATATACCAAAGGCTTGAAGATTATTTAACAGTTTCCAGTGCTAGATTAATCTATACTGGGGTTAAAACTTAAAAGGGTTGTCATGGAGCTAGTCCAAACTGTAAATGATAATTTTAAAAATTCATTGTGTTGCATAGAGCAATCCTTCCGTCAGCTAGCGCCTGTTGTTTTTGTGCAAAAATACACATGTGGGAAACGAGTGACAGTGCATAGAGGCAAAGAAAGCAACCAAAATGATTTCCCTCAGAGTTAAGTCTTTAGATATTGATTAATAGCTTGCATTGTCTTATTTGGCTAGAGGTTTTATATAATGGCTTTTTTCATCATGCAGTCACTAATGCAGGAAATTCAGGCTTCATTTCAAACTTTGTTATTGCTTTCAGTATGTTTGCATTCTCTTTTGTTGACTTTCATTTGTGCACAATTAATCAGTGGGAAAGAAATAATTTATCTGGGATGCATCCTAAACTGAGAAATTTGTGGCTCAACACTTCCAATGCTTTGTGGAGTTTATACATGTACTTCTAACAAAATTAAATTGAATCTGATATTTTTTCTAAAATAAAAAAAGTGTGTCTTTTGTGGAAATTGTAAACAGCCTCATGAATTGTGAAGTTTGATAATATTACATAATTTTTGTGAGAAGATAAGCATTGAATAAGGGAACAAGCATGAGCTTGTCTTCATGCACAGGTGATATATATGATGTCACATAAAAGGGTGAATATTATATTTTTAAGCATAAACAAACATTCAAAGGCATTTGAATAATTATGACAATTAATCAACTTAAGATTTAACAACTCAGTGGGTTGTAAAATGGGGACAATTACTACTGATAGGTGTAACTCTGGTTTGATGATCCCAATTTAACCTCACAGTATTTGTCTTCGTGCAACTAACTCGCATCTCTTCATATGAAAAGCAATGATCTGTTTCATATCGATCTGTATCGTGAAGTGTTTGGCCATGTGGTTATTGGTGAACTAACTCATATTCTCTGGCATTTCAATGATCTAACTTTCTTACATCACATACAATCCATTTCATACATTTTCAGTATGTTTCTTTTGGGGAAAAGCAGTGTACAAAAGATTAAGCAAGGATCCGTTTCATATCAATCTGTATCGTGAAGTGTTTGGCCATGTGGTTATTGGTGAACTAACTCATATTCTCTGGCATTTCAATAATCTAACTTTCTTACATAACATACAATCCATTTCATACATTTTCAGTATGTTTCTTTTGGGGAAAAGCAGTGAACAAAAACAAGGATCTGTTTCATATTGATCTGTATCGTGAAGTGTTTGGTCTTGTAATTATTGGTGAACTAACTCATTTGCAATTGCATTTCAATTATCTAACTTTCTTACATAACATACAATCCATTTCATACATTTTCAGTATGTTTCTTTTGGGGAAAAGCAGTGAACAAAAACAAGGATCTGTATCGATCTGTATCTCAAAGTGTTTGAATAAGTGGTTATTGGTGAACTAACTCATATGCTCATGGCATTTCAATTATCTAACTTTCTTACATAACATACAATCCATTTCATACATTTTCAGTTTGTTTCTTTTGTGGAAAGCAGTGTACAAAAGATTAAGCAAGGATCTATTTCATATCGATCTGTATCGTGAAGTGTTTGGTCGTGTGGATTTGGTGAACTAACTCATATGCTATTGCATTTCAATTATCTAACTTTATTACATAACATACAATCCATTTCATACATTTTCAGTATACTTCTTTTGTGGAAAGCGGTGATTAAGATACATTATATTTGTCTTTTAGGAGCTTGAAGGATGTTTACTCTGTCAAAGTATATGATTTAATGCCCTTCTTGCACCAAATGGACTTCTTGCACCAAATGGACATTTTGTCTTCAAAAGATGACCATTTGTATAATAATGCCTCTTGCGTGTAGCATACATTTGTATAACTATATACTTACTTTATTTGCATTTGATGTATGAAGTCACATTAAATCATATAATCAGCAGATATTAATGGTGTATTACTATAAATTACATGCCTATGTATGACCATTGCCATCATGGTATGTTCTTTGATTTTGGCAAACATATATATGGTGATATGGTGTCCTGCGTTTCATATATTTCATTCATTTAATTGATGTCGTGCATTTGAATCTATTGAACCTATTGCTATTTCCAGTTTCAATTATACATTTCATGTTTATTATCTATTTGTTGCCTTTCAGCACTATTTATTAAACCATCAATGAATTGTTTCTAGTGCTTTCAGGTCAAAACATGATTCCCACAACATATACATTTATAACTCATATCATATATTGCAATATAAGGAAGATGTGTTTTATCATAGTTGTCCTCGTCATCACTAATGCCTGCCACTCTTTAACGTGTCAATAGGGACTTTTAGATTTGCACAACGACAACGTGGATTGCTACGATCGATGTCCTTTTGATGCACTGCCTTGAATGGACGTCACACGTATCAGTCCACGCAAATCTAAAAGTCCCTATTATGTTCAGCAGTGATACATGGTGTGTTTCAATGCTAATCTCATGTAAGAAGCTGAATATCAAGACACTTTGATGAATGTTCTGATTGTTGACATCATCATTGCAACCACTTAATATATTGCCACCGTCTCTATGATCATTATCAGGACATTATGATTATCAACACATTTGTTGTCATCATCATCATCATCATCACTACAGTGTCATCGCTTCAACTACCATCAACGCCATTAGCGTTTTTTTAAGTTGACTCTGTCATCATCATCATCATCATCTTCATCATCATCTTCATCATCAACATCAACATCATCTTCATTGTCATCATCATCATCTTCTTCATCATCATCATCATCTTCATCATCATCATTATCATTATTTTTTCATCATCATCATCATCAACATCATCATTATACCCACCAAAATCAACACTACAAGTACCACCCACATCACCACCCACACCACCACCACCACCACCACCACCACCACCACCACCACCACCACTACCACACCACCACCATCAATCATCAACCTAACCTATCCCTCTCATGCTGGTACTCAAACTCTCTTTTTGTTTCTGCTTCCCCTTCTCTTCTTCTAGCAGAAGGTCAACACCTGGAAGATGTACCTGACGATAGGCATCATCTTCCTGCTGGACTCGTCCATCATCCTGGTGTGGCAGCTGGTGGATCCCATGTACCGCACCGTGGAGAACCTTCCCAAGGAGACCTTCCCGGAGCAGGACCTGGAGATAGTGCCTCAGCTGGAGCACTGTACAGCCAATAACATGTCCATTTGGCTAGGTAATAATAATAATGATAATAGCTAGTTCTTATATAGCGCTTTTCAGGACTGAAGGCCCTCTCAAAGCGCTTTATATTATTACCCCGGTCATCGGATTCAGGCTTACCTGCACACAATGTACGCACGTTCTTCACTCCATTCCAGCCAGGCGTCATTTTTACAAGCGCACACTTGCTAATCTAAGCACATTATATATTGATCAGGAGGTTGGGGGGGGGGGGGGTGAACCAAGGGACCTATGGCTTCAATTCCTATCCAAAAGACCATGTTTCATCGTGTAATGGCCCTTAGGGCAGCTGGGCTAAAGCCTCGAGCATCCCCTCATCCAATGAGAATTGCTGAATCTTTAGGAGACTTTCTCGCGCCATATGCTTCAAACTATTTCTTGTTCTGATTCTGTCATTGCATCATATTTCAGAGTACTGCATCATCTGCTGAGAGACAGAAGGGCGGTGACTCAGTAATCTCATAGGAGTCTGTGCCACTCTGACTCTATATGCAGATGATTTTAATTATAGATGTAGGATTTCAAGAGGGAGATAGACTATTGAATCATCCATCTAGATTACCAAGCTAAAATCCCTCTTCTGAGGACAGTAGCTAGGTTCTCACGCCAGTTGTCCATAAACTTTTTAAAGTTGAGCTCATGATGATTTTAAACTTCAGTTTTATCTTGTAGATAAGGACTGTGGAAAATAAACCATAAGTGATTTTATGGATAACATGAAAGCTACGAGCAGATGAGGGTCCTCACTTATGGCTGTGTTCAAGGCAGATTCCAGTAACTTAGAGGTTTTACAAGTTCATAGTTACGACTGCTTGCCCAACTTGTATTTGAAACCCTGAGCAGCACTTGATGTTTTTGGCGCCGCGTGAACCTGCATCTTTTGTCTTTGGGTTATTGTTTACAACTTCAAGGTTTAGCATTGCAAACTGAAAGTTAAAAATACAACAGCGCCGTGCAAACACAGCTACTGTTGTATGACAGACTTGTGGGATGATGAATCAACACATCAACGCTGCCTATGAAATCCCTTTAACCCATTAACAACTGGATTCTCGCATTCACATAGGCTTAATACAGGAGCTACCCGGTTGCAGTAGTCAATAGGTTAATACTGATACGAATACTAGAATAGTTAATGAATAATAAGGCTTTTGTTGGAAAGGGGATATACCATCAAATCCCTCATTTTCTGTGAGAAATCTGGTATGTTGATGCAACACAAGAATATTCAATGGATGATTAGATAAGGAGTCCATTTCAGAAGAGATCTAAATCAACAGATCTACTTTTTTTCTTTATATCTCTTCTGCTGTGATACGATACAAGAATATTTAATGAATGTGTGGGTTAAATAGAACTGCATGCAAGATCAAGATATATATATACATATCTATATACCTGTATATAATAAACAGATCTGTTGAATATGTGCTGGGATATATTTGATAAATCAATATGATACAAGCATTTTTAATGTATGGTTCAATTCACTATGCAGTATCGATGTTTTATGCAGTATCGATGTTCATGTACATATCACTACATTTCTTTAAAAGATTGAGTACTTTGATTATGATAACAGAACATTCAATGAATGGTTATGTTAGAGGTTCTTGCAAGATATAGACCTGTTTTTCAACAGATTACCCAGTGCTGCAAAATATCTGATCCATCAATATGACACAAGAATATTCGATGAGCTTAAGACTCTGTTTCATGCAAAATTTCTCTGCACAGATCACCTATTTTTGTGAAATCTCTGGCACTTTGATGTAATACAACAATATCCAGGCGTAACAGTCTGGAGACCTTCAAAGTACAATGTATCTGCATGTACACCTCCACATGCAGAGTATATGCAGAATACATCAACCTAACACCAATCTGTATGAAAATTTGGATTGTTTGGGATAGTATATTTTTAGAAACATGAATATATTTAAATGTCATCTTTTTTTTTCTTCATGCAAACAGAAAAATGCAAACATTCTTCAAAAAGTCTTCATAAAATGTGGAAAAATTCTCCTACTTATCAAATAATTTATTTCCATTCTTGCAGGTATCTTATATGGTATCAACGGCCTGCTCTTAATCTTCGGTCTCTTCCTAGCGTATGAAACCCGTAACATGACGGTACGGGATCTAAACGACTCAAGATTGGTTGGCATGGCCATCTATAATGTTGCAGTAAGTGAAATAATCATAACTGTTAATTTTCTACCCATTAGCAAAGGTTAGCATTATCTTTCATATATTTGTATACTTGTAGAAAATGATCTTGTTCCTAGAAGCGGCAAAGTCATCAATATCATTTAATTTTTAATGAAATAAATATAACTTCCAGCCTTTGTAGACATTTTTATTTTTATTCAAGGGTAAGGAAAAAAATTATGTGGAAATGATTTTATGTATTTGTTTCTTCAAATATATTACTTTCAAAATGCTTTGTATCATGTTTAGCAGGATGTTAACTTTCTGTTTCTCTCACTCTTTATCTCTTTTTATATTTTCCCCCATCTCTCTCTGTGTCTCTTTCTCTCTGTGTGTCCCTCTCTCTCTCTCTCTCTCTCTCTCTCTCTCTCTCACAGGTACTGTGTATTATCACAGCTCCCGTCACGTTAATAATCAAGAGTCAAAATAATGCCGTCTACGGCTTCACATCATTCACTATTGTCTTCTGTTCAGCTATCACGCTGGCACTCATTTTTATACCAAAGGTAAGTTTAATATCGGGGAAAGTCCAAGGTATTCAATGTCCCACAGATACCAAGTATTGGGGAGTTAGAATGTAAATTGACATCAAATCTATCATTCTTTTATATTTAGTCTGATCTAAGCTCTTGTAGGGCTGTTTAAGCTCCTCTAAAGTGTTGGGAGCCCCAAATTTGCCAAAATTTTTGCCATCAAACTTTTGGTGAAATTGGGGGCTCCCGACACTGTAGAGGAGCTTGAAGTTATGGCGATGGTCAGATTTACCAATACCTTAAGATGTGGTTGATAACATAAAGGACAAAATAGCAGGGACTGTATATATTAATCTTAGACATTATTTTATGACTGTTTATGCATCAGCTAAGTTGGTTTAGTTCTAGTCTCTTTTGCGTAGCTGTAGTGAGACATAGGCACATTTTTTTCTTCTTCTAATGGTGACTGTGCTTTACTGTTCTACCACAGTCACTTAAATGTTGAGGGGATACAGCCAAGATGTGCAAAATTGTTTTATTCAAAGATTTGATGAACTTTAACTAATTTGGTATGACTTTATGGTGAAGAGGGCACGGTGTTTTCATAAATCTAGCAAAATGATGGCCGGCAAAGCAATAGCATTATTACAAGATTCATTATTTTAGAACATCAACTGCCATAGAGTATGCAGTTCAAGTTACCTGAATTTTCACAGCCCTGTTGCACATGGAGAATTTCTTTCAATCGAATGAAAACAAATCTTCAAAGCCACACTGCACTACTTATAGCTTCTTGCAACGTATATAAAGCAAACAATGCCTAATCGGTGCCTGTTGGTCCCCCATGATCCCCCTTCTCTTATGTTAATTGAGAGCTGATTTGATGAGATAACCACCTGTCAGTGATCTTGCAGGGAGGTCTAATCCCCCTGGCCAAACTGTACAGACAGGCTTTAAATTGATCCTTTCTCATGTGTTGTCTTATTTCTTTGGTAGGTGGTATCTATTGCACACAATCCTAAAGGCACATATAATAAGAACACTCAGGGCCTATCAGCACCAAGCAGAGAAGATGAGGAGAAACATACAAGACTGTCAGCAGAAAATGATGAGATTAAGAGACATATTAAAGAGGTAAGATCCATGAGGGAGGGAGGGAGGGAGGGAGGGAGGGAGGGAGGGAGGGAGGGAGGGAGGGAGGGAGGGAGGGAGGGAGGGAGAAAGAAAGAAAGAAAGAAAGAAAGAGGGAGGGAGGGAGAGAAAAAGTTAAAGGAAGGTAGAAAGATAGAAAGAGATATGCATTTTAAAGATTAATTAACATTTAGAAACATACAAGACTATCAAGATTAAGATACCTGTTAAAAAGGTAAAGTCCCGTAGATATATAGAGCGAGAAAGGAGAGAGGGAGAGAAGATGAGATAGGATCAGATAGGATGAAGAGAGGTAGGAAAAAAAGAGATACATTCAAAATATTTCAGAAACATACAAGATTATCATGAGAATTAAAATGTGATTAAGAGACATATTAAAGAGGTAAGATCCACAAGAGATGAAGAGAGAGCAAATAATAGAGATTGGCTTGGAATAGTTGTAGGAAATTAATGTAAAAAGATAGAAGCGGTTTTCTCGGCATGAGATTAGGGACATCCATCTTTTCTTGTCTCCCTTGGGTGGTCTTTATAGACAGGTTTCACTGTATTAGCAAATGAGAAGCAGATCAAATATATGACACTTTTGAAAAAGCATTTAAATAATTCTAGCTTCAGGGTCCAATTCTGATACGAACCATCAGATATGGCATACAATTAACGTAATTCCTAAGTTCAATCATGGACTCTAGGCTGTACTTAACCTAATTTAAATCCCAAATTGCAATGTCAGATAGCCATCCTAAAATGATGTACCAGTCCTGTCTCCAAAGTAAAAAATTTGTGATTCTTTCCTCATCATTTTACAAGTAATCAATCCCAGATCCCTCCTCCCTTCAAACTACCACCGCAAAATTATTTAATAACATATTTTTTCTTTTCTTTTTGTGTTTCATCCCACATCCGACACTGGTAGCGCGAGGATAAGATCAAGATGCTTACGGACAAGATCCAACAGAAGACCAGGTCCATGCCAAAGGGCGTGTTATCCCCCTCCTCGGCTTCCTCCCCGGGCTCCGCCCTGCACCATTCAACCCCCACCACTGTACAAAGAACACGGACTTCCCTCAGGGTGACTGACAAGATCACACCCCCTCACATGTCGGTGGAGGACAGTGCGTACGCTTCCATGGCCGCGCCCACCGCTCACACGCCCAAGCTCATCCACGGCGAGAAGGTCTCGGGCATCAACGAGGATGATCTCTCGGAGACGTATATCTGATGAAGAGTAACAAACCAACTGAAGGGTCGATAAACCATTTGTTGTCATCCCTGTACTAATGGAATGACATTTTGATGCAACACGACGGATGCCAAAGTTGTATGGATCGATACGAGCCTTTCAAAGCTTCCAGATGAAAACTTGAGATGGAGGATCAGTGTGGTTCCATCTGTGTTTGTAACCCCAATGGTTGGCCTTGGTTTGGTTATGATGGGGTGATGTTAAAGTGAGAACCTGAGCTCTTGCAATATATGATTCTTTGCTGATATCCAAGTGAAAGTAAAATCGGTTTGACGGTTTGATGCAGCGTGGGACACCTGAGCCTTTGCACCAATGCCTGGAAGCGGGATCATATCAGAAGCAAGAGCATGCATCCTGTGGACCACTGAGTGAAGCAACTACTCTTCTTCTTTAATATCTTCTTGTAGTAATCTTCAAGTGGCTTATGCAGCCTATCATGAAGATGAACTAACAATTGCAGGCGGTGCGGATAAGCACAATATATGTAGATGCATAGCTGGAAGTTTTGTTTTGGCTCAGGAGTAGTCCCTTGAAGTTCTCTGGTTAGTCAGCATGTACTAGCTACAATCACTAGTTGAGTGTTCCATTCAGGGAACTCTTGAAACGCCTCAGGATTTTTCATTCAGCGTCAAGGAGAGGAGTTAGAAGCGATGGATGATCACACCGAAGACTCAAACTCGAACCATTCTGAGATTATTTATTCTCTGTAGTCCAATTCATTTGTTATGCTGAAGGTAGTTATACCCATTGGCTACCAAGTTTTCTCAATGCCATAATACAGGAATCACACACAATAGGTCAAGTTGACTAGCTGCTGACAAATAACAAAGCTAGCAAATTAAAGTTTTACTTCAAGTGTAATGAATTACGATAGGAGTCCAGCTATGGAATCGGTCAATGAAGAGACATTGATGACAGAGTTTAAGCAGATACTTTCATTCTTTAAGAGGTAGAATGTTTAGATGCATTCTTAGGTTTTTTGCAGAGTAACCGTAGCATTTCAGGTTTATAATATTTGACCAGCAAAAGAAAAAAAAATGGCTGAAAATGCAGTAACAGTTACATGCTTATATGGACGAACAGTCGAAGGTGCATTTAGTCTATTTATAGTCCTCGCAATCACTAAGTTCCATCTTAATTTTGCTAATTATTCTGCAAATTCAAGTTGAAGAAATAAGTTATCAATTCATGTTGATCCTATTTATTTGAGGGAATTTCCATGGATGATACTCTTTACATTCTACCTGATAGGTAGCAGAACTCTAGGTCATCTTTCAAATTATCTGTGCTACACTTAGAATTTGTTGACCATCAGTACTTCTTATGATATATTTATAGAAATATTTATAACATGGCTAGCAAACTGGTCTTTGATATTGAATGCTCATCATCCAAATTAAAGCATAGTTTTGTTGCAGAGCATATTATTGTCCATAATTTGAAGATGCATTTCAAATTTGAATTTAAATGTTAAAATATCAAAAAGTAGAATCATTTTATCTTAATATATTCAAAATTATCAAAATGGGATAATGGGAATCAAAGAAATTCAATTTCTTAGGTAAAGGTATAATCTGTCATATTTTATAAAGAAGATAATCGGTCAAAAATCTATATGAAACAAGGAAGTCCACCCCTATTCATTTTTATTTATATGAACTCATTCAAATTGAGATTATGCTTTATACTTAAGCTATGATATCATGCAAAGTTTTTATAAACTTAAAGCATAAATATTTACTCCTGTGTTATGAGAGTAAACAAATATGTTGGATTGGCAATTCTACAAGAAAATGACATTTTGCAGAATGAAATTGTAGAACAATTATTGAGCTCAGTTTAAAAGCCTGATAGATCTTTTTGGATAGCTTATCTAAAGAGTAGATTATATACTTTATGTGTCATTTCTTTGTAATATATTTTGTTATCGGTGATTAAAATCAAGTAACAGTTGATACAAGGCAACAAACTTTCATAAAAAACAGCAATATAGCAAGCAAGGACTTGGAGGATAAGTTCAACTATGTATTGTACATATTCTGTATAGTTTATATAGCCTGTGATCTAAAACGTCTTAACAAGAATAAAGTTTTATGTCTGTAAATATGAATTGAAACATATGTACTATAGGAATTTTCATCAGTACATATATATCAGATTGTTATATATGAAATGTTTATGATGATGATGATGTGATGATGTGGCGCTAGATCAGGCAAGCTCTAAAGGAGATGGAATGGTGATGGGAAAACTTGCAGTCTTAGCTCCATATTGTTTTGGGACAAACTGAAATAACATATAACTGGTCTCCAAGTGGAACTTACATGTAGATAATGCATAGCTAGAAGTTTTGTTTTGGCTGTGTGTCTGTGTGTGTGTTGATTGTATTGTTAAAGGGCATAGATCTTGTGCATTTCACTGCTTTCAATTCTTTCCTCTTTCTGAAAGTTACTGGTGTAGTAAGAATTATTTAGAACAAAAACAAAGCTCATGGTAGTCTTGTTTTTTTAATAACTTTAAAAGATTGACGAAATACATTAAATAAATGAGCATTCCTTTTTAGTATTCTAAACAAAATTGAAGGAAATGATTAAACTGTCCAATATCCAGGCATCTTTAGAGAGAGAGAAAAAAAAAAGGGGGGGGGGGGGGGGGAAGGAGGCACATGTCTAACTGGTAAAATTTTCTTTTCTTTTTGCTGGTCTGACCAATGAATAAAACAAGCTATGTTTGCACTTCATGAAGTCATTTTATATCTAATGAGACTAGTTTTTTTTGTCATAGACTAGTAGAAACAATGTTTGAGTGATTCAAATCATATATGGCTCTGAAAGAGTAAATTAGCTGGACAGCTTTGAAGTCTTCTTAATTCTGTAACCATGCCTTTAGCTTTTATTCACATGCAGTTTTGATTATTCATTCTCCTGAATGGTTACATGCTGAGCAAGGCACTTGTGTTTGCAATAATGATATCAAACCTAAGATTTTTTTGTTGATAATGTGTAACAAAGACAGGCATTTAAAAAAAAAAAAATTATTCTTCATAGTAATGAAAGAAAATGTAAACAAATGTTGTCAATCTTGCTGAATTTTCATGTCATTGTTCCTCTTTTAGGGCTACTAGTTTTTTTAGGATTAATTTCCCTGTTTACTAACATATTCAAATTGTATGCATACTTCTTTATTAACAGAGGTTGTTCTTGACAACCTGAAAGCTTGCCTGAGGCTTGTCCGGCATAGCAACATGTAATCCATGCAGACTGGATTCCAAGTATTGTAGTTCATTCATTGATAACAGGTTAATGGAATAACTCGGTCACTAGGTCCCCAGGAGAGAAACATCCATAAATTTGAATAAATTAGTAAACCGGTCTATTGAACAGTAAGAAGCACTATGAATATGACGGACAAAGAAAGCGGACAAATTATACAGTTCCTCATTCTACCCTCAACAATTGCTGTGGTAGACAAAGCAACATCCCTTCACTGCTGTTATGTAAAAATAAGTTGCACAGGTGAATATGCATGTGACACCTGTTCTACACATTTTTACATTATAGCAGTGAAGGGATGTTCCTTTGTCTACCACAGCAATTGTTGAGGGTAGAATAAGGAACTGTATATTTTGTCCGCTTTCTTTCTCTGTCATGTTCATAGTGAAGGCATGTTGGCAAAACCTGTTGCTTGAGAACAAAGTAATGCACCTGGCAAATCAACAATTGTTATTTCACCTAGCTGAATTCCTAAATAAAGCTTAGTGGATTAGGCAGATAGCAGCTTCTGAAAAACATGGAGTGTCATTGTTGCATCCATACCCTGATTAAACTACATGTATTTACAGTTATCATACTCTGCATAACTCAAAGGCTCACAAGTCTTAATTTTCCTTAGTCTAAAGTCTAATAAATCTTTTGGACCAAGCTATGCAAAACATGTTGTTTACACTTCCAAAGACGTATTTTGCGTAATTTGAACTATTTGTTCGGTCCCAAGAGATTCAACTTATGCAGAGTTAATTTTAGGTCAAAAGTAGGAAAAACAAAGTTTGGTCGGACATTTGTGTGTTTTATTTTGTTAGTGTTTAACAAATTCAGGTGCAAGACAAGTTTAAACTAAGTAAAGGCTTCAATATTATTTTCATTCTGGGCTTCCATGGATACTTAATGTGATTTGCTTCAGATGCTTTCTTGTAATTTTAATAGATAATAATGTGATTATCATTGGCTGTTGTAATTAAACTTCATAGTAATAACAAGTTGTGAATAATTGAAATGATCTATGAATATATGTTTGAGGAGGGGGTACTGTGATGTAAAAAAAATAATCTTGTTAATATGTATTATTAATATAAATCTGAATAAGGAGTCTGCTTTCCTGGCCACTGCAGTGACCATTGTTAACGTATCACTTTAATGTAAAACACATTTTACATAAGGTTATATTGTACAAGTTTAATGAGATTTATTGGTCCCATTTGCAGGCCAAAAAAAGGAAAAGGTTAAATTCAAACGGCATTGGAACGATAGTACTAATTTAGAACTTCCCTTTGAAAAAAGGGGGCTTGAAAATGTCTTTAAGTGGGAAAATAACGACTATTATACCCCATTCACAGTGGCCTCAAACACCGCGACAGCAGCGGGACTGTCCCGCTGCTGTCGCGGTGTTGTCTTCAGTGTGAAGGCTCGGACCCGTTATAAACTATCGCGGGATAACACCGCCTCGCGATAACGCCGCGACAAACTATCGCTAGGTTCGCCTAGCTACAGCAGCGGGACAGTCCCGCTGCTGTCGCGGTGTTTACTCAGTGTGAAGGCTCTCCGCTATAACACCGCGACAAACACGTGTGATTTGTTTACTTACCTATCACTGACCTCTTTTCTCCAGCAATGGGGAACATAAAGTGAAATAGAAATAAAGTAACCAGTGGATTCAAATTGATTTTATTATTATGTAGATATTATAATTATCCAAATAAAAATATTTCACACTTCAAAAAATTAAAATATTCTGACTGGAAGCAATAAAAATGCTAGTTTTTTAAAAAGTAATATGATCGAGGATACAATTTCAAGCTATCGAAAACCCCGCGCTGAAGTATTTCCGGTCATATCGGGGTCACTCGCGGGTCATGAGCCATGCATACACGTGTTTGTTACGGAGGTAATAAAAATCACCCGCTGCAGCGTGAATGGGTACATGATATTTATCCCGCTGCTGCAGCGGGATAACTTTTCTACTGTGAATGCATTTGTAGCGGTGTAATGGCGGTGTCGCCGCTCCGCTACAACGCCGCTACAAATTTCAAAACCACTGTGAATGGGGTATTAGTTGTCAAATCGACTTGAGAGCTATAGAGCCAGTAAGTAATAGTCTGATTTACAGACCATTGTACCAAATGGTCGTACGTTTTGTGCTGCTCAAAGATTCAATCAGTTTAATTTTGGCCATTACAAGAAGTGGGTTATTGATGTAGACAAATGCTCATGTACCCTTTACAGCTCATTTTATCTATGTTATTACCAAAGAAGACAAAAAAGCTGGTCAGTCACTCAAAAGTGTCTGACAGTGAAGTCTAGCAAGTAAACAGGTTTCCCTGCATAATTTCAATATTAGGACACTGCTAACGTTTAAATTTCACAGATAGGACATAGGACATATTCATAATTCCTACAGAATTTGATGTTGGCTGTAAAAGGGACATGGTATCTTTAAATCTAAATCATACATATATATGTTTATGATCTGACTACCTCTACCTTTTACATCTGCTGTTTTACTAGGATAGACTTGTTTACTCATCTATTTCAATTTATACATGTTTCTCACCTTAACCCTTTGTTACCATCCATTTCATTCACCTAGGAATGGAACACTTTGCATACATTAGTTTTTGCTATGTCGGGCAAGCCTCTGACAGTTAAGCTTTTCAGTTATCAAGAGACACTTTGTTCACAAAGCATGCTTACAATTATTAAACAGGTCTATTGCCTCAATCTAAACGTGACCTTGCTTTTCTACAAGTATGAGC